ATAAAACTATACGAATGAAGTGTAGGGTATAGCAGAAAGCTGTGCACCATGGAATGATGTGAATAACATTAGATGGATATTTAACATTCTTAATAAAAATTTAGCAGTTTCTCAACATGAAGTCACCTTATTTGCTTATTAAAACTCCTTTCTGAAGCAAGATCTAAATTAATAAATGAGAAATTGGCATCAGATTATTTTAATGAGATTCGCCGACTCTTACCGATATACTTATAAACAGATAATATTTTCAATCAGATATGAAAATAGTTTCGGTTTTAACCCAAGAAGCTGTCCTGTATGTTAGCTATGCATCACCCTGGGTACAAATACAAATACTTATTGACTTGAGTCCCTAAAAATGGTCAACGCGTTTGGCATAAAGTATCAGCAAATTTGTAACTTGTTTTCTTTATTCTGAAAAACTTCGTTAAGGATTCGGTACAAAAGAAAATGATCCTACATACCGCAAACATTAAGTTTTGGCACAATAATAAGTAGGTGAAGGGAAATCAAAATATTCATCTCGTGTTTCTTAATTCAAGACTAAAGCAAATCGCGAAATACTTCAAAAAAATGTATGGATTTAGTTCGAGTTATTGTATAATTATTTTTAACGGAAATTATTAACACCTTTGATAATAATAAAGCTTTGCTATGACAGGGTGACTACTGCTAACGTTATAACCTTTTGACCTATCTAATTATTGTAACTTTATGCTCCCCCAATTGTAAGCTCTCGTTTTACTTATGAACGGTTGTTATGTGTTTTACTATCCCACTATTGGGATTAATCAACTGTTCCTCTTTTGCTCTGATTTTGTTTCACTTATAACTTAGCTATGTACATATTTAAGTTCCTAATTTATGTTGCTGTGTAGTGTATATTATCATACGAGTTTCTGGTTAAAGATGACAATAAAACAATGAAGATGTGTGCTCACTAACTATACCTTTTGATTAGACACTAGCTAATCAAAATTATGGCTCCCCAGTCATTTTTCTCAGCCGCTGGTTGATTGGTCAAGAGGTCATTACGTCATTGATTAAACAGGAGACTGTGAAGCGAAAGGCAGTAAGGTGAATAAATAAGCGAACTCAAAAAATCAATCGCTCTCATAATTATTAAACTGACTGAGGGCAAAAACAAAAGATCGGAACGTGTTTTGATGATACAACTAACTTCATTGCTTACATCCTTTGGAACCCCACATTTTTTCAGCCTTCTGTTTGGTGATTAATATTTGAAGTTGTTTTTGATCATTTACATGCAAACGTATAATACTATGGATGTCTATTTTTAGACGACATAACTCTTCTAAAAGTCCACATTTTTCAAAATTAACAAGAAGAATATATCGACTGATTCCATTATCTGGTTCATCACCTGTTGGATTAATTTGTTAAAAAAAATAAGTTTTAAAATGAAAAGACACTTTAAAAAATTCTGACAAAAGTAAATTACGTAGCAGTTCTTATCAATTTTCCTCTTTTATATGAATTCCAGTCGAATCATTTTATCAAAAGTGGACATGCTAAACTATTGTTTATCTAAAGTTGAAATGTCATGTCTAATTATTTGAAACTATCATAAAGTTTTCTTTATTAGTTTTAATGGTTTATATTTCCTCTCTTGTTCACATTAAACGTCAAAATGATTATTTTGCACTGGTACATGAGTCTGTTCAATGTATTTCTTCACATTTCCGGAATCTCAAACAATGCTATATTCAAAAGGGCGAAGTAAATACTGAATGAATGGAGATCGAACTAAAGTATGTAAATGGGTAATAGTTCATTTGAGTCCTGGCAGTCTAAAGCCATCAACTAAGCGAAGGTAAAGGATCAAATAGATGGACGTCACTGTAAGATTTAACATTTATTGTAGAGGTTATCAAGACCACGAATAAAGATATAAACTATGCATTACACCAAGTTATGTTTCTTTAGTATCGAGTTCTAATTATTTTAATATCAGAGTCAAGACCTTCAGGTTTAAAGACGAATACCTTGTAGCAAACCTATGAATAAATTGATGCCAAAAATACCGATCACTTATAACATACCAATAGATTCAAAGAAGATTATTAATTATAAAACCTGTAAGTTTTGAATAAAGTCCCGGAATTATCGACGAAAGCCTGCCAATTCATACTGTCGAATTACACATAACTATCTAGTTTACAGTGTAAGGTAAATTACCTTTGTTTTCGTATTATCCTTAAGCAACTCGAGTGCCCGGAAAAGAATATAAGTGAGGAAGGCAACAAACATGCAGCTATCTTCAACTTCACATTTAACGATATTTGCATATATTGTATATAAAATGTATGCCAATCATCACGATGAAATCAAAATAGCCATTTTGGAACCATTATGAATATTAAGTATTCTTTGCTTACAACACTTTCATTAATCGGTAAAATTTCATGAATGAAGAAGGTTTGCCCAAACTTTTCGTGGGACAGAGCAGCTATCGTTTTTTACCTAATATGCTTGTTGTTCAAAATCTTAACTCAAAACAACTGCTATAATCGGAGAAATAAGAAGAGTTAAGTAAAGGTTTAGTGACTTAACTTTGACCGTGATACGACAAAAACATCACGTATACTGAGAACGAAAAGATGCTACAAACAAACTTTCACAAGTTTTTGACCTTTGAAAACACAAAGACCATCATGTATACAACATGCTGTAGTGCGATTGTCTGAGAGCTACCCACTTACCCAGGTATTTCTCTTCTAATGCTTCTTCCCCACGTTTATAAAGTTTACTTTTCTCTTTGTTTACTGGTGGCTCTTGTGATTTTATGACTTTGGCACCAGATTTTTTATCTTTTGGGTTTTCTTTCTTCTTAGTATCCTCCATATGGTTAGTCTTCGGAATTGACTGTGAGATAGATGTGAAAAAACCTAGTTATTTGCAACGTACTTCATACGATATAAAACTCAAGATTTACTTCTTTTCAACTGAGGTAGGGATTTGCATTGGCATTTTACGAGAAAATTTCCACAAAAATGAATACAAATTTCACCAGGTCCACACACGGTTATATGGATCACACTGATTCACGTAGAAAGGATTGTTGTTTTATAGGACATAACTAAAAAGCCGTTAACAAATTACTCGTTACATCATTTTTTAATGCTGATTAAAGTTAGTAAATCAACGGAAACCACTGAAGATTTAGAGCTTGATTCAAGGTGTATAAGGTGTATAATAAGATACCAATTAAGGCAGATCTACTTACACTTTAGAGTTAATGACTCGAAGCTCCAGAAACATTGAGACGATTCTCAATCAGCTGAATGAAGAGATTATTTGATAAGATGACTATTTAAAATTCGTTCCCCGCATTTTATAATTTGAGCATTCCACTTCTCTTTATATTGCACCCTTTCATTAGTATCTCTACTGTTTGTTTAAAAGCCAGTCAGATGTAATAGGTCGTTTTAATCTATGTAGCCTTTGGGTTCATATGTGGATCTGTTTGTCTGTCTTTCATTTCAATTACGAAGTATTTTTAAATCAGCGACCAGATGCACTGATAAATTGATTGTCTTAGTAGTAACACTACTAAGTTTACTTGTTGGTTAATCAGTTATCAAGTACCCTAGGTCATCTGTCCTTAAAGTACTCAACATAAAATAAAAATCCATCAAGCTGAAGATCTAGTCATCCAGAACATATTTCAGAAGAGCCAAAACTTCATAAACAACGTACGTATTACCACTGTGCTAGCCGAAATGCAGGGACGAATAAAAAACTTAAATAATAAGCACACACAAAATAAGATCCTTGCGTGGAAATATTTTGAGTTAGACCAGCAACTCTGCGGATAGCAAATCAATATATATATCATTTTAGAATGAAGTTTGGCAATTATATGTTGGTAAATAAACGCTTATAGCAAGTCACTTATTCATAAATAAGGATTGTTTCTGTATGTTTCCTAACTGCAGACTGAATTAAACCATCCTTTCATCTGACTTAGTTAGTTAAAATATTGCTCAATGTAACAAAGTATTGGTCAAATCATAGTTATTTCAAAATGCTTATGGTTTTCTATCAACAATTGGTAGTCAAAAGTAATAAACTTCCAAAATATTTGGTAAAAGACAATTTTCAACCGAAATGTATATTACCGTCAGAACTTTTAACCAGTGAAGAACTGGAATTTATTTAGACGTTAAAATAAATGGACGATGTTATTTACAAATTCAGTGTACATAAATTCGTTACATTTTACCCTGATATTTATTTGATAAGAGACTGATTTTCAGCCAGTTAGTCAGTAGCAACGTAGAACTCCGTACGTACGTACATCAGTTCGAGTTGCCACACCATACTAGCACAGAGATGCAGTTGTCGACTCGAATTCCGTAGTCGTAGATGTAGTAAGAGTATAAGCAGTAATCGGAAACATTAAGGCTTGAAGATATTATTCAAGGAGAATAATCCAGTGAGATAAACTTGGAAAGATAAAAAAAGGGACATGAAAAATTCAGAAGATTAGAATTTGGGAGAACACAAAGAGTGGATGCACTTGCGCTATTGCAAACGATTTTGAGCCATGTCATTCAAGGTCTCTAACCATCGGTTGCCACCATCTCGCAGTCCCCAACCAGATAGTCTACACCTATCAACATGACTCAGTCCACTTGTCAGTGATTTCATGGACTTGTGCCATGTTTTGGTCTGGCCTCCCCTAGCTTTCTTCCAACCTACTCCTATACCACTGAACATAGCACGTCGAGGCAGTCGGTGTTCGGACATACGTAACACGTGTCCCAACCATCTCAACTGATGAAGTTTCATTACTTCACCAATTGATTTGCCATCCTTACCTAGTACCCGTTTCCTAACAACTGTGTTACTTACTCGGTGGTCGCAGGATATACGAGCAATGTTTCGAAGACACCTATGATCGAATACTAGTAACCTACGAACATCCTCTACTCATACCGGCCATGTTTCACTGCCATAAAGTAGGACGAAACGAACTGCTGCGCAGTAAACACGTCCTTTGGTTGATAGACGGATATCTCGCCTACGCCATAAATGACGCAAGTTGGCAAAAGCTAGTCGAGTCTCCTGTATCCGTGCTGAGATTTCGTCACACACCAGACCACAAGGGCTGATGATCCTTCCAAGATAAGTGAAGCAGTCGACAAGCTCAACTACTTCACTCTCTATCCTTAGTTCGAGTGTTGACGCAGGCCAGTCCCGAAGAAAATTTTGCATTTCGAGGGAGAGAATCGCATCCCGAACATGCTTGCATTGTTGCTTAGAGTGGTCAGAAGACTCTGCATTTTATCAGCGTCTTAGCCAAATAAATTTATTCGCCAACTTCATGAATGGGTGGACAGGAAAATAAAACGACGGAATATTTATCCATACTACGATGGTTAATGGAATAGAAATCAAAATACAAATGTTGGCCAGGAAAAGACATAGAGAGTTAAATAACGGATAAGAAGTGAATAGTAAAATTAAATTTAGAACTGTCTTAGCATTTTATGTATTTAACTGTGTATCACTCGGTAAGTGATATGAGTGTTGGATACCTATATAGACTAAGTTTATTTGCGCACATAACAGCCGATAGTTTTGGATATGCATCTCCATACATTTAACACATTAAGTTTGGAATAAGATGAATACACTATGGAAGCGTGAGGAGTCTTATTAAAGCGGCTTAAGTACAGCAGTGCATAATCACGAAACAAAGAACTAAAGGGCTTCGATCGACAACCCATTTGACTCAAATCACATAGAATCTGTTGGTTATTCCTGGGAATAGGTAGCTGATAGCAAACTAATAAAGGGTTTGTTATGTTTAGAAACTTTCGAAAATACAACTTAGCGTTTCCGATCAAAGTAGATTCATCAGACGTAACCACAAATCCTCAATATGCAAGTGAAAATCAAAAAACCCACTTCAACTGCAGTTTAGTAAAATATATGCAACCATTCCAAATTCTGGTTAGAGGTAGGGGTCTCATATGTGTAAATTTAAGTTACATATCAGTGTTATACTGCGCTGTTACTCAATTACCTTCAGTACGCAAAACGTGACTCGCAAAGGTTGTATTTTAAGACTTTTAATAGTGAAATGCTTCTGAATAAATATTCTACAATATGTTACAAAATAAACGTAGCCAGCCCACATCTTAGTCGATTGACAGTACTTAGTAACAAGATGGATGTCACGGGTTGTAATGTTGTTGTTCAACTTTGTAACTTAAGAGACTGCACATATCTGTTAAATACCTCCTAATATAGCTTTGTTCTGGATGGAATAGTTCAGATTACTACTAAATTGGTGGCTTGTTTAGAGCAAACAAGAATGGCTACACGCTTAGACACTGAACAGCCAAATATAATGTGATAGGCTATCAGGTTTGTGACAAAGTTATCACACTGGCATTCTAACATTGCAATTATCGGCGAAATGTTCGATAAAACATAAAGATATACATGCAACTGCTTCGGTATCTAGGCCCACCTAGAACACAGCATATCTTTCACGGAAAAATAGCACTCAAAAGAAATGTGAACTGATGAGATATTTTAATGTGCTCAAAGTTCCCCCATTTTCCATAAACAGGTGGAAACGAGCGCTAATAGGAGTTCACCAATAGACTGAAGTTGAAGTCAGATAAATATACATATCAGATAGGACGGTGAATAATTTCTTTTCGCTAACTTTCTGGCACAATACTGGAATAAAACGAATCTCGGTGAATATTTTCAAGAAATTATTATTAAACTAACTTTTCTTAATGACTGCTGCTTAATGTCCAGTGTTTTTATGCTGTTGAACATAAACTTCAAAACTTTTGAAAGTGTCTGCGGATTTAATTCATCGACGGTTTCAATGGCATTTTTAGCCACATTGCATATCTCAAAAAATTCTGGAGCATCCTTCTGACTTTTGGCTTTACATTGAGTGAAAATTTGATTCAGGACATCTTCATATGTTATTACCGTGAATCTCTGACGCTGCCCATTGACGATGCTTGCTGCTAAAATTGATATGATCTCATTTTCCGTTAATAGTGATGGTGAAAGAATGGACAGTGACATTTTCCATACTTCCTGAACACTATAAAAATTTCAAGAATCTACATACATCGTCCAAATTGAGATCGCAAAGTTTTGATTCCCAGTCTGAAACGCCTATTGAGGCTCTTGGTGTTTTGCTTTTAACATTTCTAGCACTTCTTGGCATTTTGAAAGTAAAACGTTTTTATTTACATGACGATTACCTCAAAACTGAATTGTCTATTAAGTAAAACAAACCTAGGTGTTCTTCAGACCTTACATTTTTTGAAAATTAAGATACCTGACCCGTCATTTTGATCAAAATACTGAGTTTTAGTTAATGAAAGCATGTTTTAATTTTTTCTTGCGAAAGGGCAGATATTATTCTAGGTTTCTTGGTTTCAATGCAATGTGTTAGAAGCGTTAAATATTATAATTCCTAAATTTTAAATTTTCAAAGTGTTCACCTATAGCCGCCAACAGTCTTATTTTTCTAGAATTGAAAACTAATGAAGCCCGGTAGTCTCGACTTCGGTATCAGGTCGATATAACAAGTTAGTTGAAACAGAACTTTGTGGGTAAGTCCAGCAAGACCGAAAACCGACTAGGAGGAATAATATACTTGAGTCATTATTTGCAATAAACATATACTCTATCTCAGTACACATCAGTTATGAGATTTTTATGAATGATCATAGAGTTGTATTGAAAATTATTCATTCTCTAAACATTATGCAAACGAACTATGGAGCTGCAATGATGTACAAGAGCAGACAGTTCGATCAACGAGCCTGGTAGCGCACTGAAAATTTTACTCAAAGTTCACCATAAAATCCTTATTTTACCACAAATAATATTGACGCTGCGCTTTCTGATTTATACCACGACTTGATATATTGCCTTGACTGCAATGACGTATTTGTTGGCCACGTGGCTTATAACGATAACAGGGACCAGAATACTATGAAATCCTTCAAGAAAAAGCTGAGAAAATTGAAACACCGCTAACATGAACATCATGGCATGTATGCACTCCAGAGTATAGTTAACTTGACCAATAGAAATGCTTCATCTAAACGCAATTATCTTATGAATATAGAAAATAAAGCCCTGGGTAGTAAAAGCCTAGCGTTACCAATACTTCAAGTCCCATGTGAAATCGAATTCTCTTGGTACGACTGAATTCTTCATAGATAATGGAAGCATTGTTGACAACCCTAATACTGTTTGTGAATAATTCAATCAGCATTTCTTGCAATACTGAAATTGAAACCTCTATCTATACATTTCCAATGTTGACATCTATCCACCAACATCAAGTGGGTCATAGCTTCCCTGAAAATTCCTATGACGGTGGGCTTGACGAGATTCCTTCATCATTTGTGAAATGTGGTAGTACAGAATTCCCATTATTTTGTTTAAAACTGTTCAACCTGTCTATGGAATATGGGACCTACCCATCTGTATGGAAAACATCTCTTATCACTCCCAGATTTGGAACGCGAAAACGTCGTGATATTGCCAACTATAGGTCCATTAATTTGACATCTATGCTATCAAAAACCATGGAGAAAATCATCCGCAAACGGCTACTACCATTTTTACTGTGTCTCACACAAAATTCTTCTTCCAAAACTTTCTCCATTTAGCATGCAGAATTCCCTTTTTATCTTTCCCCAAATATTTTTTAGCAGAACGTAGTCAAATCGTTCGCTTTGGATCTTGCCACTCTCAGCCTGTGGAAGTAACCAGTGGGTTTATACAAGGAAGTGTGAATGGCCCATTATTCTTTCTTCGATTGATCAACGGCATGTATTCACTCTTTCAATGCACTAAACCTTTCCTTTTTGTCGATGACCTAGAAGTGCTTTATTCATTCTCTTCTCCCACCACAGAAAACTATATTTCAGAGGTAATCCAGGAAGAAATAACTAAGTTGTACGAGTGGACTGAAATAATTTTAAAAATTTAATCGTTTGCTTCAAAGGTCGTTATTCATTACACTCTCATTATCATGCTTGACTCTTTCACTAGGTGTTCACTTCTCTTATATTTCTCTTTTCTAAGTAAATATTATCCCTAAGTATCCAAAGCTTTAATTGAGATAATATCTTGTGTTACACTTAAACAAATCAACTTTTTCAAATTCATTTCATCTTCACCACGTGCATAGGACTCACACAAATTGATGTTTGGTTATGCTTTTCACTTAATTGTGACTTTCATAGCATCACTCTAAACTATTACTGTGGAAAGTAAGTGTCGTGGTCGTCACAGACTTGTTGCTCCATCGTTCATCCTACTTTAACACGTATATATTAGTTTCAAATGTTTTATTCTGTTGATTTCTCTGATATTTGTCTTGCATTTGTAGACTTCAAAACCATTTTTATGTCGAACGAATAACGTCCGTAATGCAAACATATTCATGCTTTAGTTGTAGCAAGTACGACAATTGCTTTTGCGATATAATGATGCTACATAAAGATCTAAATTCGCCAGTTCAGTGAACAAACTAGGGATCTCTGGAAGCAGGCTCTAACCACATTCTGTCGATGGATGAAGTACAAACGAATTGTCTCTACACAACGTTATTGGTCATAAGTATTTAGACTTTGCATAAACTTGACCATTAATTTTCCGGTAACTCTAAATTTAAGGAAGAGTTTTGTTCTAGTAACAACATCTAACACGTCAATGAGCAAAACCAGCTCAGTTGGCCAGCCCTAGTTAGGCGTAAATAAAATTTCATTGATAAACAAAGTGAAACAGAGAATATGTTGCCGACACAAAATAAGATAACGAATGAACACGATCACGCCCTCAAATATTTTTATACGTATGATGACTTGTCAATAAACTATTAGTTCTCTACTTTAAACCACTAGGAAACCAAAGAATGAGGAATTTGCTATCGAAAGCTTTCCAATCTTGTAGTGAATTTGTAATGCCTCTAGTAACTTCTATGAATACCTATTCTATGTGCCACTTATTAAGTTAAGCCCCTTCTGGAACATGAAATCCAAACAGTCAATCCTTCTTCCATATCTTCCATATGTGAAATATACATTTTGGAACAGACTGAAAGAGTGATGACATTTAAGTGACCTCATTCGTGGGAATAAATTGATGAATAGCCATGTTTCCGCTGTTCTACCACAAACGAAAGGTTGACCTAATACTAGATCAGCACATACTACATACTATACGACAGTTTAGGAGTCACAACGTAACTTATTTCTTCGTCTGGAACTAACCATCTCAAAAGACGCTTCATTAAAGTTGGACAAAAAACAAAACCAGATCGTCTTCGTTTATAGTTGAGATTACCCGTTAATCCCCAAATGTAGACATAATATTAGGTTGTTCCACAAACACTCTTAAGGCTTAATGAGATTATATTATTGAACACCCGATCTTTTCATCTTATTTCTGAGGAACGAATGAGCACTTTTTTCTTCAGTTCTTTCGTAATTTGAAGGGATAAAATATTTAAGGGCTAAGGAGGAACACATAAGTATGCTGCATACTTGTCCACTATTTTATGTAGCGAAAGAGATGGGTAATTTTATTTTAAAATGGTGGCATCATTATATCCTGTGGGAAGGAATTCTGTATAATTGGCTCCATAATCATAAAGACAGTTTTTGTGCGTAATCTTTCGTCTTCTATATCTAGATAATGAAATAACAAATAAAGCTAAAGACTAAAGTGTGCTGGTGGTCCGTTATAATGAGGAACTTTATGGTCAAGATGATGCATCATGATTGTTGCCTTAATTTTCCTGCCATACAAAACGACTTGAAGGTTCAGTGCTTTGAAGTGAAACAAGTGAAATTTACTCACAACCAAAGCAATCCATTCAAGCTCGTATCTATGATCTCACTCCAGGAAAGCGACACCATTCATCTAGTGAAGAGGCACGATTAGTGAAATCTTCCCAGTTAAATTTTAAAGAGCGTACAGAGATCAGTTTTAGAAAACGTCGGGTTCGGAAGGCCTAGTTCTATGGAGAGAAACCTAATTTAAGTGCCTCATAAGCTGTAGAATAGACACATAAATTGCAAAAGCCACTATCAGTCCTTTTGATTTATCCCTACTGTAGTTGAACGAAACTATCCAGTCTTTTTCTTAACCAGGAAGTCACCACCATCGTTAAAACGGTCTAAGGTAAATCATATAGAATTGTAAATTTGTGACACCACGAGAGTTGGAGTTCCTTACAGACTTCCGCCTTGTTAGGTGGATCAGTCGCCACCGGACATCCAGGAGAGGACAGTATAATTGGTGTTGTCTGGGTAAAAAACTAGTTGAACTGCACCTCTAAAAACTCTGACCATCGACCAAGATGCCGTTAGATATTAACTACTGGCATCCCGTCCTCTTCACAAATCTTTTCAGCTACACCATGCTTCTTGTTGCCAGGGGGAGCACTGTTAGTAGATAAAGTCCCCCGGTGACCGGCAACCAATGATGGGTTCATTCACCATTTATTACCTCAGACTTCTGGAGCCGATGTGCGCCATTTGTTTGGAATCAGGGTTGTCCAACTCCGCACACACCAACCTTGCTTGAGCAACGGATATTCAGTTTTCTACCATCCAAATTCGTAAACCAATCTGTAAACCCGTCAATGAAAGGCCGTACACTCTTGATAAATGCCAGTCCTATCAAGCCGATTAAAAGTAATTGCAATGTCGGTAAATTGTATTATGCAGATGACCCAAAAGTATAACAACACTAATTGGTACGATCACTGTACAGCAAAACCGGATATCAGGACGTCTACAAATAAAACTTAACAATTAAAGTTTGTCTGCTTCTTTAAAGTTAGACTCTTTATCACACTAATCGCCAACAACCACTAACAAAACTTTCCTGTGCCAACTAACGAAATTTTGAAGAAGACACAAAAGTGTCATCAAGTACAAAGGGATCATTACTTCGCACAAATACCATAACTGCCACAGCTTCAATGGGAATTCAAATTTTTACAGTCGATTTTAATTCTTCTTAGGTTCATCATGTGTCTGTCCGAGTGCATACTAGATATAGGCTATGAATCATCTGGGGTGTACTCATTAGTATTAGAATTAAAGGTGAAAATTGTAACGGACCCACGCGGGTCCTTGTGACGTATTTGGTTGCTGTGACTTTCGCATGAACCATAGATTTTTTGACGTGTTT